AACATCCGCGTCCTGCTGGTGGGGTTGGAGATTTGGTCGAACAAAGACCTCATCGACGTCAGCCACAGTTCAGAAGCCACGCTGGACAAGTTCCTGGCGTGGCGTCAGGACGACCTCCTGCTGAGGGTGAAGCACGACAACGCCCAGTTTGTGACGTGAGGATTGACATTTGTGCAGATGTTTTAACCGCAGTGATGCCGCCGGCTTGACCTGACGGTGCGTTTTTGTCTTTAACAGCTGGAGAGATTTTGACGGAGACACAGTCGGACTGGCAAATAAGTTCGCCATGTGCACCGGAACCTCGGGAGGCGTGAATCAGGTGGGAGTAACGGCGTCTGACTCTCGTTCATCAGGATGGACGATGGAGGTGATACTGATTCATTTTTCTCCCTCAGGATCACAACGAAAACCCAATAGGCCTCGCCTCCACTATCGCCCATGAGATGGGACATAACTTTGGCCTTTCCCACGACGCCCCAGACTGCACGTGCGGTTCCACTTCCAGCGGGACAGATTGTGTCATGGCAGAAAAGCTCAGGTAAAAATGCAGACCAGAGCAGATGTAGAATTTTTTGCATCTGCAAACATTTTCCCATTTGTAAACCGTTAAAATCAGAGCAGGGGTGCGCTGAACTTTAAGCTGAGCCCAGATCTCCTTGTTCCTCCCACAGGGCAGGAAATCAAATGTTCCCGGAGTTGTTCAGCAGCTGCAGTCTTTCTCAGCTCGCTGAATTCCTGGAGCGAGCTCAGCCCAGCTGCCTGCAAAAGCCCACCTCCTCCAGGATCATCGCCGTGGGCCCCCGCTGCGGCAACGCCATAGTGGACCCCGGAGAGGAGTGCGACTGTGGCACGGTGAAGGTAACCCCAGCTACGTTTAAATATGTCCTTTGCTGAAGGGAGATGCTATTTAGGTTCTTCCATTTTATCCCACTGCTGTGGTTTCCTGTCTGAGGTTAGGGCAGGTAGCGTGTGCAGAGCTGCAGCCTTAAAGAGTTCAAATTTAAAATAGCTTTCTAGTGTGCTCACACCTCATCAGAAGGGGGAGAATTCCTGGGTGAGGTCACTGCCTTCATCGCTGCAGCCATGTCTGAGGATCAAGTGTGTGCACAGAAACAAACATTGTGTGTCTTTGTGTTTTTTGCAGGAATGCACCAATCCCTGCTGCGATGCCTCGACTTGTCGGTTGACTGCAGGATCCCAGTGTGCTCACGGACAGTGCTGTGAGAAGTGTCAGGTACTGAAGCTGCTCTGCTCCCTTCTAATCTGGCTTTATATTAATCCGTACCTACACAGTATAAGATGCCTCATTCCAAAGCACAATGCATCTAAACAAAGGTGCAGAAAACAACTTAAATTTGAATGTAGATTCAGAGCGTCAGCGTGCTGCGAGGACATTAATACTAATCACAAGTCCAGCTGTGATTAATCGAGATCTCGATGAAGTTTAAAACTCTCTGGAGACAAAAATACATCCAGCATGTGTTTTAAATTATTCCCTGACACATTTTTGGAATCTGGCGCTGAAGCCGGTCTGTGATTTGATAACTAACAGAGCTCACATTCACAAAAACATCCGAGTCTCAAATTTAGCGACGTGTTGGCTGAAAACGTGACACCCCAGATTATTTTCTCCTCGGAGTAATTTCCAAATAAAGCCGTGGGAGATGCTTTTCACTCAGCAATTTCCTGGGCTTTCTCCAGAATTTTAAGAACATTATGTATACAGTTTATCCCAAATATCAATGCAACACACAGCTGTGTGTGTGTGTGTGCTGCTGATCTCTGCACACATCAGTTGGATTCTGAACGAAGCTGCTATGTTTTTCTCAACTCCAGCTCTGCTTAATGCAATGACACATTTTGTAAAGCACACCAGAATAAATAATGATAATTCGGGGCCATATGTGCAGCTTCTCTGCTGTGTGTCACAGATAGTTGCCAACTTTAGTAAGATAGTGAAAGTTGTCAATGATTTGAACTTCCAGAATCGGTAAAACATGCAGTGCATGGAGCAGCTCAGCCACGGAAACCCACGAAGCTCCCAGCACACCTCTTTTGTGGTGATGTAGAGGCAGACTGCATG